TGACAAAATTTTCGGCGTATAAATAATTAACAGCCAAATATAGGTCTCGCTCCCCCGACCCCAGGTCTCCAGTTCCCTTCTCCCAAGATAACTACTGCTACGGGTTTCTTGTGCAACATTCCAACTATACAATATGCAAGAAAATCTTACGATTTGTGAACACAAGCATGCCAGTGAAGACATAATATGTAAACAAGCACATATGTAAACACGTGTGCTTATAAAGATACGTAAACAAGGTGTACATGTGCCATATGCTGATGTACATGTAAACATACAGTATGCAAACATAAATACCTATGTAAATATATAATATGCAAACAAGCATACATGTAGCACATATGGAAACTCAAGTGTGTGTACCACCATGCAATATGCAAATGCAAACACGCATGTAAAGACAAGCTATGCACACACAAACACACCTGTAACATATAGCATGCAAACACAGTGAGCGTGTAGGCATAGGAAAGGCAAAAGCAAGCACATGTGTAAAGGGGAATACCCTTTCAATGCACACCTCACACACCTCAAACCCTTTCCACACTTACACTCTCTCTGGACAGTTGTCGGGCTGATCCAGATACCCTCCGTCCATGACAAATTTCAACACCTGTTCATTAGACAGGCCTTGGTAAGGCTGTTCTGCCAAGCTGGTGATTTCCCAAAGGACCACGCCAAAGGACCTGTCAATGACAGTTGAGAGTAGTAACAAAGAAACCATTCACACACACACACGCAAACACACACACAAACACACACACACGCACACAGGTAAACTAGCACACAACACACGCAAACACACATGCAAACACATGCACACGCACACACGCACACACACACGCAAAAACACACACACACAAACACGCACACAAACACGCACACAGGCAAACTAGCACACACATGCAAACACATATGCAAACACATGCACGCACACAGGCAAACACACACAGGCAAACTAGCACACACACATGCAAACACACACGTGTGCACACATGTAAATACACAAACACACGCAAACACACGTGCACACACACGCAAATACACACAAACACAAACACACATGCACACAGGCAAACTAGCACACACACGCAAACACACATGTACACACGCATGCAAACACATGCACACAAACACACGCAAACACACAGGCACACACACATTTAATACACACACAAACACGCACACATATGCATACACATACACACGAACAGGCAAACACACACGTGTGCACACACATGCAAACACACCCAAACACATGCAAACACACACATGTGCACACATGCAAATACACGCACACACGTGTGCACACACATGCAAATTCACACACACGCACACACACACGAACACGCACACAGGCAAACTAGCACACATGCAAACACATGCACGCACACACACGTTTAATACACAAACACGCAAACACACATACACATACACACACACACACGCTCACACACATGCAAATACACAAACGCACACACACACACACAAACACGCAAACACATCTCTTGGTTTGCGAGAACATAGTTGGCCAGTTAATAAAACAATTCATGCTGTGGTCCATAAATGCTATGGAAGGAAAATCAATCTTGGGGCCCCCAAATCACTAAACTCAAGGAAAAAGTCCAGCTGGGAACTGCTTGAACAAACTTGCCTCCCACTCTATTCAAAGTGCCCCCTCTGCTCACTGAGATACATGCATATCTGATTGGCTCCTTTGGAGAGGCTCATTAGAAACTCAAAGAATGTAACCATTTGTCTCTTATCTACCTATGACCTGGAAGACCCCTCCCTGCTTCGAGTTGTCCCGCCTTTCCAGACCCAACCAATGGTCATCTTGCATATGTTGATTGATGTCTCACGTCTCCCTAAAATATACGTCTAAAACCAAGCTGTGCCCTGACCACCTTGGGCACATGTGGTCAGGATGTCCTGAGGCTGTGTCATGAGTACACGTCCTCAACCTTGGCAAAATAACCTTCCTAAATTAACTGAGACCTGTCTCAGATTTTCGGGGTTCACAATGCCTACAGGATTAATCAGGACTTAAGAGTAGCCATGGGAAGGTCCTCAGACAGGACGCTGCCTTCCTTTCCTTGATGGGGGGTCCAGGAGGATGGCAGGCTTCCATCCCCCGCTCTTGGCTGTTGCTAGCACCTGGAATTCAAGCCCAGCGTCCGTCCACCCCTCCACACACAACTCACCACATGTCAGAAGAAGTGGTAAAGACCCCATCCTTCAGGGACTCCGGCGCCATCCACCGTACAGGGAGCAGACCCTTGCCTCCTTTCCGGTAGTAATCCGTTTCATAGATGTCTCTGGTCATTCCAAAGTCTGACAACACAAACGATTCACATGCTCTTAACCTTCAGCCTTGGTCCTACCATCTGCCATCTTGACTGCTCCACCTCTCACGGAGCCCTAAGAGGGGTTCACCTGGCCCTGGTGTGCGCTCACCTGGGTGGTAGCCAAATCCAGTAAGAAGGGATTCTGAGGGTGCACATGGGGAAGTGAAGGGGGAAGATGGGCTACTATTTAAAGGAAGGGAAAAGAAGGTACCAAATGACAAAGAAGCTACATTTTTCTTTTTCT